TAATTTGATTTGATTTGATTTGATTTGATTTGATTTGATTTGATTTGAAAATAAAAATTGAGGAGCCCTGCACATGACATGATGGGAGAAAATACAATATTGTGGCCAAATTAAATGAGGGACAAATTAATACAACATTATGATTTAACTGAAACAATTAAACAAATTAATGTACTTCTGCATGTCATGTGAAAATAAATGAAATAATAAAATAAAATAAATTAAAATAAAATAAGTTATTAGGGAATTATAATTTTTGTATTTCTTATTGAGTGGAAACTTAAAATCTGGGCAAATTTTCAGCACTGTTTAAAAAAAGTGTATTATAGGATAAAAGGATATTATTAAGTCATTATAGAGACATAATTGTAATATAATTTTAAATTAGAATTATTGTTTTTATCTTTTCCCTTCATTTTACGCTTTATTTGTGCTTGGAGTGTGAAGCTCCCACACGGCGAGTAAAGTAGCTGTGTGTCAGTGTGTGTGTAGATCTCAGCTCAGTTTGCTCTGCAGATGTGAACGAGTGTCTGGACTCAGAGGGGCTGGTGTGTGGATCCCAGCGCTGTGAGAACACCATCGGCTCGTTCCGCTGCGTGGCGTCCTGCGAGCCCGGATACCACATCACTGCCTCCGGAGAGTGTGTGGGTGAGGAGTCTGACAGACAGTAAATCACACACACACACACACACACATGCAGAATGACAGCCGGGTCTCTCTCGCAGACATTAACGAGTGCGCTAACGAGACGGTGTGCGGACATCACGCCTTCTGCCAGAATCTGATCGGCACGTTTCAGTGTCTGTGTGACCAGGGCTACGAGTCCACCGCCGACGGACAGATGTGTGTGGGTGAGTGCATCACTGCAGGAAAACAAGTGACCTTTAAAAACACAAGAGTTATTACAGAAATTATATACTTCAAAAGAATATACTTAAGTGTGAACTGCATGTTCTCAGGCACTTAATGCACTCACTGCATGTTATTTAAATAAAAGTGCATTACAGTTTAAATGTGTATTAAATGCGATTAGCTAAACTTAAGAGTGTTTTTGACCCACTTAAGTGGGACTTCAGAACAGCTGTATATGTCATTTCATAATTACTTCTATTGTCTTGAAAGTTACTGCTGAATTTATTGACAAGCATTTATGATCAACTAAAATATACTTTAATGTTTTTTCTATTGAAACGCCATGTATTTATGTATGTAGACTTATTCTAAAATATATTTGTAATTACACATTTTTAATTAAAACATGATGCAAAATGCACTTTAAAGTAACATTTGACATACATTTGACATGATTACAAAGTGCACTTTTTAAACGTGTACTTAAATGGCCACCATATCTATAAAACAAAACAAAATAAAATAATAAAGAGGGAATGAATTAGTAAAATGTGGCCACAATTTAACTAAAATGGGGGAGGGAATAAAAAAAAAGTATATAAATTAATAACTTGTGGGGATTATTTCTTAATTTGTGGCCATGATATCTATATTTTCTTCCACGTGTCATGTGTGGTGATTAGTATAAAGAAAGAATAAATAAATAAATAAATAAAATAACAAAAGGAGGGAACAAAGTAGTACAATGTGCCCATGTTTTAACTAAAACAAGAGAACAAATGAATAAATATTGGCCAGTTAAATGATAAACCGAGGGGATTATTCCTAGCTCATGGCCATGATTGTTTAAAGGAAAACTTTTCATATAATAAAAAAAAATTGTAAAGTCTACTTAAGTATGTAAATAAACATAGTTATGGAAGTGTCTCTCTTTAAGTCACTTAAGTGGCCTTTCATTTCATTAATATAATATTTACAAGATTTGAATTCCACTACAAGTGCACATTCAATACAATTAGGCACACTTCTTTTTCAAGGGAAACTTACAAAAAAAACACTTAAGTTTAAGGGAAAACTTAAGTTTAAGTTTTCTTAAGTTAAAAAGAAGGGAAAAACTTAAGGGAAAACTTAAGTTTATTTTTAGAAATGTTGTGTTTTTTTTTTTTTCTCTATGTAACCCCCTGCGTGTCTCTTTCTGCGCAGACATAAACGAGTGTGAGACGATGCAGGGTGTGTGTGGCTCTGCACGCTGCTGGAACGTCGAGGGCTCGTTCACTTGTGAGTGTGAGAACGGACAGGAGGAGTTCGACCCGCTCGCAGGCCAGTGTGTGAGCAGAGAGAGTGCAGGGAACACACACACACACACACACACACTATCGGCACGTATCAGTGTCTGTGTGACCAGGGCTACGAGTCCACCGCCGACGGACAGATGTGTGTGGGTGAGTGCATCACTGCAGGAAAACAAGTGACCTTTAAAAACACAAGAGTTATTACAGAAATTATATACTTCAAAAGAATATACTTAAGTGTGAACTGCATGTTCTCAGGCACTTAATGCACTCACTGCATGTTATTTAAATAAAAGTGCATTACAGTTTAAATGTGTATTAAATGCGATTAGCTAAACTTAAGAGTGTTTTTGACCCACTTAAGTGGGACTTCAGAACAGCTGTATATGTCATTTCATAATTACTTCTATTGTCTTGAAAGTTACTGCTGAATTTATTGACAAGCATTTATGATCAACTAAAATATACTTTAATGTTTTTTCTATTGAAACGTCATGTATTTATGTATGTAGACTTATTCTAAAATATATTTGTAATTACACATTTTTAATTAAAACATGATGCAAAATGCACTTTAAAGTAACATTTGACATACATTTGACATGATTACAAAGTGCACTTTTTAAACGTGTACTTAAATGGCCACCATATCTATAAAACAAAACAAAATAAAATAATAAAGAGGGAATGAATTAGTAAAATGTGGCCACAATTTAACTAAAATGGGGGAGAGAATAAAAAAAAAGTATATAAATTAATAACTTGTGGGGATTATTTCTTAATTTGTGGCCATGATATCTATATTTTCTTCCACGTGTCATGTGTGGTGATTAGTATAAAGAAAGAATAAATAAGTAAATAAATAAATAAATAAAATAACAAAAGGAGGGAACAAAGTAGTACAATGTGCCCATGTTTTAACTAAAACAAGAGAACAAATGAATAAATATTGGCCAGTTAAATGATAAACCGAGGGGATTATTCCTAGCTCATGGCCATGATTGTTTAAAGGAAAACTTTTCATATAATAAAAAAAAATTGTAAAGTCTACTTAAGTATGTAAATAAACATAGTTATGGAAGTGTCTCTCTTTAAGTCACTTAAGTGGCCTTTCATTTCATTAATATAATATTTACAAGATTTGAATTCCACTACAAGTGCACATTCAATACAATTAGGCACACTTCTTTTTCAAGGGAAACTTACAAAAAAAACACTTAAGTTTAAGGGAAAACTTAAGTTTAAGTTTTCTTAAGTTAAAAAGAAGGGAAAAACTTAAGGGAAAACTTAAGTTTATTTTTAGAAATGTTGTGGTTTTTTTTTTTTCTCTATGTAACCCCCTGCGTGTCTCTTTCTGCGCAGACATAAACGAGTGTGAGACGATGCAGGGTGTGTGTGGCTCTGCACGCTGCTGGAACGTCGAGGGCTCGTTCACTTGTGAGTGTGAGAACGGACAGGAGGAGTTCGACCCGCTCGCAGGCGAGTGTGTGAGCAGAGAGAGTGCAGGTAACACACACACAACCAAACCATCTTTTTTATTGAAATAATAGTATCCTTCGGGGGGAAACATAAGTACACTCTAAAAGCTTTAAAAAGAGTACTTATTATGGAAATAATGTACTTTAAAAGAATATACTTAAGTGTGAACTGAGTGTGAATTTTTGGACACTTTATGTTATGTGTCTGTATGTAAACTGTATGTTATTTACAAATAAATAAAAATGTATTATAGTTTACTTTTATATTAAATGCAGTTAGTTAAACTTAAGTGTTTTGACCCACTTAAATAGGACTTCAGTACATTTTTATATGTCATTTCATAATTGCTTCTATTGCTTTAACACATGACAAAATATTATTTAAACATAATGATTTAAAATGTACTTTAAAGTACAGTGTTTTGACATCATTACAAAGTGAACTTTAAAGTCTACTTAAGTGTGTTAAGAAACTGTCATGAAAGTGTCGCTCTAAGTCACTTAAGTGGCCTTTTTAAGTAATATTGTATTATTTGCAAGGACAGTTTTTTTTTTTAAATATACAGTACTTTCAAAATTTGAAGTATACTACAAGAGCACATTCAGTACAATTAAGTGCACTTATTTTTCAGAAGTGATATTTATAATTGTAGTTATTCCTTATCTGTCCACTGTCTCGGATGCGTTCTTGAGTTCTGAAGGTTTATTGATATTTATATAGTAACTCAAACTTTATTTCAAATGATCAAGGAAAATTTGTCTGGTCACACTTTAGTTTGAGGACAATTCCTACTATTAACTAATTATTAACTATGACTTTTACCTTAATTAACTCCTAATTTATTTTATTTATGGTTAGTACGGTAGTTGTTCATGCAGAATAAGCCATTAATATGTGCTTTATAAGTTCTAATAAACAGCCAATATGCTAGTAATATGCATGCTAATAAACAACTAGTTGATGGTGAGAACTGGTCCTTAAAATAAAGTGTTACTGCGTGTGGATTGGTTGCAGGTCAGTCGGAGCCATCTGGCGGAGCCTCCTCTTCCTCGGCTGGCCGCGGTCCGTCTGGATCGTCCGGCTCTCTGCCGCAGACTCGGCCTGGAGAAACGAGAGAGTGCTACTACGGCGTATCGCAGCCGTACTCCTGCAAGATACTGGCCCCAAACACCACGCTGCAAGAGTGCTGCTGTACAGCGGGACAGGGCTGGGGCCTCATGTGCCAATATGACGTCTGTCCCGAGACGGGAACAGGTGAACAAACACACACTAACACTGAGGAAATGCTGTGAAAAATAAGTACACTTTAGCATACTGTGAAGTAGCAATTACAGAAATTATATACTTTAAAATTATATTAAAATTGTTATTTTAGTATCATTGAGGTACGACTTTTTATTAATATTTTTTATTAATATTTCAGTTAATTTCATTTTGTTTAGTTTCACTTATTTAGAGTTTTGTGTGTGTGTGTGTGTGTGTGTGTGTGTGTTTTTAGTCATTTTTAGTAGTTTTTTATGTCTATATAGTTTTTTATACATTTTTATTTCCGTTTTAGTTAAGTACATCATGATAAACTACATTAAAATGATAAATGTTGAATAATTAGCTGAAATCATTTTTAATATTAAAATGTATTTCAGTTAAGGTTTATCTTATTTAAAGTAACAGTTTAGTTTAGTTTAGTTTAGTTTAGTTTAGTTTAGTTTAGTTAACTACAGTAGTCAACATCTGAAGTGGATCAAAAAAGTTCATAAAAGTTGTCCTAAGACAAGAACGCATTTTTGGTTTTAGGTTCTAGGACAACTTTGATGAAAGGTTTTGATCCACTTCAAATGTTGTCTACTATATAATAATCCTAAAGAAAATATAAGGTTTTTGGAAACTTAATTGCATGTTATTTAAATGAAAATTATTTATAGTGTAAATAGTTTAAATGTGTTCAAATGAATTTATTACATTTATTTTATGAACTGAAGTGATGAATTTTAAGAACATTCTTAAGTGCATTTTAATGTGATTTCATAATTCAAAAGTTTTTGAAGTTTTTAAATTCAAATATGCTTTAATATAATTTCTATTGAAACTTGTATGTCATTTTAAATATATTTGCAATTACACATTTCTAAGTTTATTGGATATTGCATTTTAAAATGCATTAACTTTATGTAAGTAAACACATACAAATACGTGTACTTCTTTAAAACATGACAAAAGATTATTATACCATAATGATTTTAAATGTACTTTAAATTAAAACTTTTAATTTGACATTAGTGCAAAGTGCACTTTTTAAAAGTCTACTTAAGTGTGTTAAGAAACAGTAATGAAACTGTCTCTCTTTAATTGCATTTAAATTTCATTAATATCATATTGTCTGCAAGGACAGTATTAAAAATATGCTTAAGATTTCAAGTGCAAATTCAAGTTTTCACACCGACGAGTTTCTCACTTTTTTCCTGTCATCAATATCTCTCCGTTCAGTGGAATTCCAGTCGCTGTGTCCCAGCGGAAGAGGGTACATCACCACCGAAACGGGAGCGTTCAGCTACAAGGGTAAACAGACTCTCACATAAACGTCCCGCAAGTCTCTCAGCATTGGCTGCTTCTAATCTGAGTGTGTTTGTTCTCTGGACAGATGTGGATGAGTGTAAGCTGTTTGACCCAGAGGTGTGTAAAGGCGGCGTGTGTGTCAACAACATTCCCGGCTACGCCTGTTACTGTCCCAGCGGATTCTACTACGACACGGATCTGCTGGAGTGCATCGGTCAGCCTTCAAAACACCAGTGCCGGCTGGGATAGATGTCAGCTCAGCAGACTGATGTTTCTGTCTCTCTGTCTCTCCTGTAGATAATAATGAATGTGAGAGTGAGGAGACCTGCACTGGCGGTCAGTGTGTCAATACACTGGGAACGTTTTACTGTACGTGTGAGCCCCCTCTAGTGCTGGACGACACACAGCGCAACTGTGTCAATGCAAGCGGCCTCGCTGAGGGTGAGAGATGCACAGATACACAGACTGCAATGACTTCTCTGCCACTGGCTTTGATAACATTTAGCAACCACCAGTATTTCATGCTGGCCATATAACTATTTTTATTTTATTTTTATTTAAAAAAATATGTTTGTCCATGCCATTATGATAATGGAATTATATTTGATTTTACTGCAATGTATATATTTTTTATTTTATATG